TCACATAGGGCTAAATGCGTAGCATTTTAGTAAAACTGTTAACGTTACGGCAGCGGGGAATATGAACGTGCATGAGTTATTTTATTTAGTCTGTGTTATTTTAATGTTTTCGGGGTTTTTTATACCTAAAACAGAGACACAGATGTTGATGTGTCTGCATTCAATCATTTCAGTGGGCTTAAATAGATCACTCTTTACAGCAGATTTAGTTCACAAACAACTGACAGTTTTGACCTAAATATGATTTTCAGTTACAATAATGAATCCTAAAATTCGACATTAGTAATTACTTTTAGCAGCATCAGTCGCGCGCGCGGTTCTTAGGCTACTTGTGAATTGAGTTCACTGGAGACTCGCACTAAACAGTTCATTTGAATCAGTGAGTTGTCGACTCGAGAACAGCTGCAATCGGTTCATTCTAATTCGTCAATGAATCGTTTAGTGTGTTTTGCGAACCGACTTAAAAGGTTAATTGAAAATAATCAGTTCGTTCATGAATCAGACACCGCTTCTGCGTGTCAGAGCTTGTGATATATTATAAGGAGTAACGATATGTTTTATGAAATGTAGTGAAGTAAAAAGTACGATCTTGTGCTTTGGAATGTAGTGAAGTAAAAGTAAAAGCTACTCAAAATAAAACGACTCCAGTAAAGTACAGATACTTGAAAAATGTACTTAAGTACAGTAACGAAGTAAAGCTACTCCGTTACTGTCCACCACTGCAAATAAGAGGTGAAGGAGTCTGTGGGTCTGGTGTTGTAATGCCTAAAGACAGACAGTCATTAATGTGAATGAATAAGTCAATCTGATCTACAACAGAAGACAGACATCAGCTCAAGTAAATAAACCCATATAATAGCATTGACAGACCTGAACAAGGCTGACAGAGTTGTCTGATGTCCAGATGTTGAGTCTGGTTGCTGATGGGATTGTTGAGCACACAGCTGTAGCTGTTTTTATCCTGATATTCCACCTCCAGAGGTAGAGAGAGACTGATGCTGAGATCAGACACACTGATGCTGGACAATAAACTGTTTCCTTTGTACCAGGAGAGAGTCACATGATCCACATTCACCACTGAACACACCAGTGAACATGATGATGATGATGAAGAAGAACAGTGTGAAGAGTCACTGCTGATGACAGGAACAGCCAGACGAGCTGAAAACACGAGAGAATAAATAAAAGGTAACAGTATGTTTTATCTGTTTTATCAGTCAGTGTTTGAATGTTTTGAGTGTTTAATGCTGATACAGTTAGCCTTCATCTTAAATTATTTCTCAAGATTTATAACAGATTCATATTTAATAACATTACATTGTCAGGGAGGATAATAATGTCATAAAATGAAAACACTTTTACTTCAGACGAGAATCACGTCACAACAGAAACTATTGCTGCCGCTGCTGTTTGAGCTTCAGTGTTTTTTACTTTAATTATTAATTTCTGTGATTAACATTTGTTTTATAACATGTTAAAATTATGAAAGCTACTATATGTACAGCATTTGGTCCTCTAGTGGTTAGATATAAGCCTGCATGCATCTTCAATGATGCATGATCAATTTTGTTTCTCATTTGTTGGGACAGTAAACTTTCAGCGTGACGTTACTCACAGCCAGAGTCACTGCAGACATACACCTCTACAAGACACACACAGGAGAATGATGTGTGTATGCAATTGTTTATAGATTTATCAAAGTGTATTTGGGAAGAGATGATTTGGAAAATTGAAATTTCTCATTAATATATTTGTTACTTTTATCAGAAAAAGTTACTTACTGTAGCTTTAAAGGGTTAGTTCACCCAAAAATGAAAATTACCCCATGATTTACTCGCCCTCAAGCCATCCTAGGTGTATATAACTTTATTCTTTCCGATGAACACAATCAGAGTTATATTAAAAAATATCCTGGCTCTTCCAAGCTTTATAATGGCAGTGAATGGGGGTCAAGATTTTGAAGCCCAATAAAGTGCTCCACGTGGCTCCGGGGGATTAATAAAGGCCTTCTGAAGCGAATCGATGCGTTTGTGTAAGAAACATATCCATATTTAAAACTTTATAAACTGTAATCTCTAGCTTTGTCTAACACGAGAGAGTAGTTTTCCAGCAGATGACGAAGGCGTAGCGTAAGCTCCGACTGTATTCGTCTGAAAGAAGGAAGTCATATACACCATGGCTTGAGGGTGAGCAAATCATGGGGTAATTTTCATTTTTGGGTGAGCTATCCCTTTAATGCAATTGATGCTGCATGTGTTTCTTACACACTAGTGTCACACGTTCATGCTATTTTCACGTCGCTCACCGCGGCTACATGAAACAATATAGGAAGTGGGAAAAAATACTTTATCTGACACTGAAGATGATGTGATGTCAAACATATTTTGTCTTTGCACTAAACACTTTTGTCATTTTTATGGTATCTGAATGAATGTTTTTAAAGATTAAAAAAAAGAAATGAAGAGAAAAGAAAAGAAAAGAAAAGAGAAGAAAAAAAAACATTGTGTGATTTTTTGATTTTGATTCATAAAATAATTTTTCATGAATCTTGCAGCACAAATGACACTGTAGTTGTGACTCACCATAGACAGTAACTCTGAATCTGTATGTGGTCGTTTTTGTGCTTTTGATGTATACTGTATAAAGTCCTGAGTCTGTGGTTCTGGTGTCTGTGATGGTCAGAGATCCAGTCTGATGATCCAGCTGCAGTCTGTCTCTGAATCCCACAGCATCACCATCAGATGTAGAGAAGATGAACTCCTCTTTACTGATTCGAGCTATAAGAGTCTCTGGATGTCCAAAAGTCCATGCTATCAGATCATTTGTCTGTAGTTCAGTAACACCCGATTCTAGAGAGACTGAACCTCCCTCCGTCACTGACACTGACTTCACTGCATCTGAATCACCAAACACACCTGAAGAACACAAAGAAAAAAGATTTTTACATTACTTAATAAAGACAGTTTAAAATGTAAAACATCTGAACACATCATACACAGAAAACACTTTTACTGCAGATGAGAATCAGGTCACACTGAAACTAAAGCTGCTGCTGTTTGAGCTTCAGTGATTTATATAAAGAACATTAAAAAAAAAAAACAAACAAACCCTAAATCTAAAGCAACAGAAGCCATAAAAACTCACCAACCAGACGCCACAAACACAAACAGAAGCAAAATCTGTCAAACATCTTCAACGGTTTCAGTCCACAAATATGACACAAACTCTTCAGAACTGGTTCAGTAATAAAATGACAGATGAGCTGATGTGAGGCTGCTCTGTAGTAAAGTCACGAGAAACTCAACCGTCAGCTAAAATAACCGCACATCTTTACGTGTTAGATGTGTGTGAACATCCAGCTCTTTTTTGGTTATTTCACAACATGTTAACTTTGCTGCTTTAAGCTCCAGTAGACCACAGCTTCCTCTTCTGTTCAGTGGCATCATTTTCAACAGAATAAACTGAGCCATAACACGATCAGAGACTAGAGAAGTTAAGAGTGTCTTAAAGCAGCGTTTGATCTGCTCATGAGATCCTGAGAGTGTTTGGCTCTGCTCTCTCCTGTTCTTCAATATACAAATATAATATCATAAGTTCATAATGTGATCTGGTGTCTCCAATAAGACAAAAAAAGCTTAGCACCTCCTGGTGGATGACCAGTCAAAAGAAACGTATTCATTGATGATAATATTCATTCATTCAGACCTGTGGTTCTCAATCCTGGTCCTGGGACCCCCTGCAGGAACAGATCACCTGCTAGAACTGTGTGTAGAAAAGCCTTCTCTGATATTATCATATCATTAACGTTCATATAAACACACCTAATGAATACAAACATACCAAGATATTGAAAATCTGTGCCAGGAACAGTAAACACAGCTGTAATATTATAAAATGTTTATTATATACACATATTTTCTTCAAATTGTGAATGAAATTACAGACAGTGAGTAAAGAGCGCTTCCTGATCACTGAAACTGTTTGTTCAGTGCAAATTGAACATTAAACTCTCCATTTTAAGCAATGAATGAGTAAACCAATGAACTGTGTCTCCGCTTTGCTGTTTATAAGGATTTGTGGAGAACATAAATGCCTGTGATTGGCTGCAATACTCAACGCTGCAAAATCATGTTGAGCTCACATGTCACGAATAAAGCATCCAGATAGCTTTCATTTACTTGCTTTTCTCTTTTTTTTTAAACAACTACAAATTATATGTTACATGTAGTAATATAAATCTGTTAATCCTGCACTAAAAATATATGTGCACAATAAAATATGTATATTAGGCTACCCGACCAGGCAACCAAGCTAAAGCAGCCGCCGAACTCTGCCATACTGACACCCCTGCAGTTATATCATCTCTCAAAACATTGTATGCTGAAGGACATCATTATTATCTATTGTAAAGTTACAGTGGTAATTTAGCAGACACCTTTTCACATCGTTTTATCATAGGTTTAGAGGGAGCTAGGGCAGACAACAACACAACCCTTACGAAAATTAACCATGCTTTTACTACAAATAAAACCATTACAATAGTTAAACCATGGCAACCACAAATTAACCATGGTTTTGCTACACTAACCATAGTTTAACCATTGTAATAAAAATATGGCTGTACCATGGTTAATTTTTGTAAAGGAAAAAATATGACTCATGATAATGTAATAACATGATCAGTATTTGGATCTTTCTATAAATATTGTCATGATACTGTAAATATACACCGATCAGGCATAACATCATGACCAAGTGAATAACTGATTATCTCTTCATCATCTTCATCTTCATTAGTGGGTGGGATATATTAGGCAGCAAGTGAACATTTTGTCCTCAAAGTGGATGTGTTAGAAGCAGGAAAGCAAGCGTAAGGATTTGAGCGAAGTATGTGTATTTGGGAAGACATGATTTGGAAAATTGACTTTTTTTTTTTTTACTATCTCTCATTAATATATTTGTTACTATTGTCAGAAAAAGTTACATACTGTAGCTTTAAAAGGGATAGTTCACCCAAAAATGAAAATTACCCCATGATTTACTCGCCCTCAAGCCATCCTAGGTGTATATAACTTTATTCTTTCAGATGAACACAATCAGAGTTAGTTGTGACTCACCATAGACAGTAACTCTGAATCTGTATGTGGTTGGTTTCGTGCCTTTGATGTTTACTGTATAAAGTCCAGAGTCTGTGGTTCTGGTGTTTGTGATGGTCAGAGATCCAGTCTGATGATCCAGCTTCAGTCTGTCTCTGAATCTCCCATCAGGACCATCAGATGTAGAGAAGGTTCCATCCTCTTTATTGATTAGAGCTATACGAGTCTCTGGATGTCCAAAAGTCCATGTTATCAGATCCCGTGTCTGTAGTTCAGTAACACCAGATTCTAGAGAGACTGAACCTCCCTCCGTCACTGACACTGACGTCACTGCATCTGCATCAGCAAACACACCTGAAGAACACAAAGATAAAAGATTTTTACATTACTTAATAAAGACAGTTTAAAATGTAAAACATCTGAACACATCATACACAGAAAACACTTTTACTGCAGATGAGAATCAGGTCACACTGAAACTAAAGCTGCTGCTGTTTGAGCTTCAGTGATTTATATAAAGAACATTTAGAAGAAAAAACAAACAAACACTGAATCTGAAGCAACTGAAGCCATAAAAACTCACCAACCAGACGCCACAAACACAAACAGAAGCAAAATCTGTCAAACATCTTCAACGGTTTCAGTCCACAAATATGACACAAACTCTTCAGAACTGGTTCAGTAATAAAATGACAGATGAGCTGATGTGAGGCTGCTCTGTAGTAAAGTCACGAGAAACTCAACCGTCAGCTAAAATAACCGCACATCTTTACGTGTTAGATGTGTGTGAACATCCAGCTCTTTTTTGGTTATTTCACAACATGTTAACTTTGCTGCTTTAAGCTCCAGTAGACCACAGCTTCCTCTTCTGTTCAGTGGCATCATTTTCAACAGAATAAACTGAGCCATAACACGATCAGAGACTAGAGAAGTTAAGAGTGTCTTAAAGCAGTGTTTAATCTGCTCATGAGATCCTGAGAGTGCTCGGCTCTGCTCTCTCCTGTTTGTTCTTCATTTCTTATCAAATGTCTCAGTTGTTTCTCCTCTCAGACTGATTTCAGAGTTTCTCTGATGGCTTTATGGAGCAGGAACAGATCACCTGCTAGAACTGTGCGTATAAAACTGTTCTTCAATATACAAATATGATTTCATAAGTTCATAATGAGATCTCTGGTGATTGATTGTAGACTTTGCTTAGAAAATCTTAGTAAAATAACTTTAAAAACCCTGTCTCTAATAAGACAAAACATCTGAGCGCCTCCTGGTGGATGAACAGTCCAAAGAAACGGATTCATTGATGATAATATTCATTCATTCAGACCAGTCACACTGTTCAGGGCAAACAAATTTATTAAGCCTTTGATTTTTATTTTTTATTTTAATTATGATCTTATATAATTCATACTGTTTATGTATAAATGTATAGCACTTTTGTATTTTGTAAAAAAAAGACTCTATTAAGCAAAACCAGGCACAATAAATAAGAACAGTAATAATGTTTCTAAAGTCCCCATGAAATCAAAATGGAAGTTTTTTGGCTTTTATTATGAATATGTTAGCCTTAAGGTTATATAAGCTAAATGACATATGGTTTTCAGATTGCAATAGATCTGCAGGGGTCACTATATTAAAAGGACATTTCAGGTATCTAAGCCATGAAACAGATAGGTTGGGAAGAATGATAATATTGCATGTCAATATTAATCATACTCATTATACTCTTGTGAATTCATATGCCACCAATAATAGACAACCTAATTATACACTTTTCAGAAATATTGAAACTAAATTGAAACAAATTAAAAATAAATTTACATTGGCAAAATATTATCGATCTAAATCCTCAATGAGGATTATTTTAAAGAAGATAATACACCTTTTTAAATGTATTTTACATTTATTATTATTTTCTAAAAAATGCAATGTTATGATTCCATAAAGAAAAAATAGGCATTAATAGTGCATTAATAAAAATAGTAAACAGAGTAAACAAATGACAATTGAATAGTACATTTTAAAAAAGTATTGCGCTTAACAATAATGTAATGATGTAAAGCTCTATATGTTGCGCTTTACTGAAAATTATAATAAAATACATAAAGTTAGTATTCCTCCAGTGGGCGCTCGGCATAATGTAATAAAGCATGGGGAAAACTTTATTCATGAGGGCAGGTAGACACATAAATAATTAAAGCATTCTTTGATAATCTAGAGCAGGGGTGTCCAAACTCGGTCCTGGAGGGCCGGTGTCCTGTAGAGTTTTTCTCCAGCTTGCCTCAACACACCTGCCTGGGAGTTTCTAGTATGCCTAGTAAGAGCTTGATTAGCTGCTTCAGGTGTGTTTGATTAGGGTTGGAGCTAAACTCTGCAGGACAGCGGCCCTCCAGGACTGAGTTTGGGCACCCCTGATCTAGAGTATTTATCATTCAGGAAAACAATAAACTCATTAGAGGAAGGTCATAAATGACAAAAACCACATTATATTTGAAACAGTAAGTGTAAAGGCAGATGCAGTTGTTGTGGTCAGAACAGAGTTTGATCATCGCTCTGAGCTGAAACACATGTTCGTCACCACCGTCATCTCAGATTCCTGTCAGACAAACACAGACACAAAGAGTCAAAGCCTGAGAAATGACAATCTGCTGCAAATTCATCACGAGAACTGATGATGCATTGGACCTGAACATCATTCAGAAACAATGAGCCCATCAAGTATTACGGGATATAAATCAGTGAGTATTATGGGATATAAATCTGTTGTTGTACCGGCTAAAAAGAGGGTAACACTTTATTTCGATAGTCCACTTTAGACATTCTAT